TTAGAGTGGATAAAAACCCTTTTATAGTATGGGGTCTTAGTTTTGATTTTTGATGTTTTATTTTGCTGTTTTGTTTAGTGTATACCCAATCTAGTGGCATTGTGTATGCTACCCTGCGAAGGTGCTTTGTCTAAACACCGCATATAAAATAAAATAGGGGGGGGATGTGGGGGTGTATGGCTCCCGAATCGCCAACCCACGGGCGCGGCAAACTGCTCCCATGGCAACGAGGCAGGAGTGACCTTCAACCCAGCGTCTGTGTTTGGGAAAACCTTTTGGCTGATTTGATTGTACCCTCGCAGCTGGTGTTCACGCGCACAAGAAATGGGTTTGCTATCTTGTGTAATTGTACACTGCATGTTTTCTTCATGCACAAGAATGTAACCACTAAGAAGAGTTGTAAACAAAGTAAGGAGAGAAATAAAAACCCCAGGAAAAGTTTTCCTGGGAGGCTTTTGGCTTGAGGCTTGTGAAGCTCTCTGGCTACCACAAACCTGGTGTTCTATTTCCTTTCCTGTGTCGTCACCACAATTAATTTTATTTTTTGTACATGGATTTTTACCCCACGATCTGGATTGCATTGCAGTTAACCTCGCTGGTTAAATTCCATGCTTTGTTTGAGTAAAAGGAGCCTCATTGTTATTATTTATGTTGTACCAGTGCCTAGTGTCTCTATCCAAGACCGAGGCCCCACTGCATTAGGTCCTATACATGCACATCATGGGAGAGCCTGAAGAACTTACATTATAGATAGGCATGACAGACAAAGGAGGGAGAGGAAAGAGCGACACAGGGAGGGTAAGTGACTTGCTTAAGGTCATACACAGGTCAGTGGCTGACCCAGAAATAGACCCCAAGACTCCTGACCCCTAGTCCAGTGTTCTGTTAGCCCACAGGGCCATATCAATTATGAAAATGATTTTAGAGAAGAAATCAGTGGGGTTCCATAGAAATGATTCTAAAATGCTATGGACTATTAGAGGGTTATAGCTTTCATGTAGGATTTTTGTTTTAAACCATCCTATGAAGTTCTTAGCAGAGATTGTAAATTCTTTGGGACAAGGACTGTGTGGACAGTGCCTAAAACAATGCCGGTGCTATTAGAATATAACTATAATAATAATTTCTATAGAATGGCTCAAAAAACCCACAGAAAGGTGGCTGTTTTCTATTAAATTCTACAGGACCTTTCCATAATGGTAGCTCAGCAGAGATAATTAGTTTGTTGGGGTATCAATGGAAAGAAGAACAAATGTTTTGAGGGAATCCTACAAGATACAGAGGCTTGGGAGAATTTGATTTTCATTTTTTAAATAATTTCGATAGATATCAACGTTTACTTTTAAGCATTTTGTTCAATTTTTATTAATTTAAATTTTCACAGTTGTGGGAAATTATGGGAGGAGCCAGACAATTATTATTTAATGCCAGTAGTTGTTGAGACTCAAAAAGTAAAAGTTTTATAACCATTAAAGCACAAAATTGTCAACATCACATTTCAAAATATACAAAATAAACATCCTTAAACCAAACGCTAAATTCTCAAGCAGTATTTTTCCTACTTTGCCTATCAGTACATTTTGATCATCATCAATGGAAAATTTTTGGGGGGGTCAGTTTGTGTATGAACAGTGAATTGACATTTAAAGATACTAAATGTCTGTGCCTAAAGGTACATATCTTTTTTAACCAAGTAAAAAGCATTAAAAGGTATTTAGAATTCAGAGAATTTCCCTCATCTGAATAAATCTATTTTTAAGCTATACTAGAAAACAAAAAAAAGTCATTATTTGCTGACTGTTGCCACAGATGAGTTAAGAATACCCAGTGTTAAGGAGAAGAAGAAATGGAGGTAAACTCAGACACCAGTATGGGGCTGTTGGTAAATGCTCAGTTGTACTGGACAGTGTCCCATTAATTCGCCAATTAAGGGGCTCATGCTTATAGAATAAACTGAAAAGTACACAAGGAAATAAGACACGGATTTTATTTCATGCAGGCCCTGTTCATGCTTGTAACAAGAGCCATGTTTAAACAATGTTTGCTACTTAGCAATGTTGTAACATCCCTGCCAGCGTGGACAGGGATTTTTTTCTGTGGCCAAATTATGCTATTCATTACTTAATGCGCAGCAGAATTTAATAACAGGCTTCTCAGACCACAAATTTCATCTCTACTACAATCAAGGGAAAACCACACTAAAGCACTACCAATCAACAACCATAAACAAAGTTGTAGCTAACATGACTCCGACTGTATTGAGGGCCAAACCTCAGTGAAGTTTGATGCATATCCTACTTTCCCACCAGTCCTACTAGGGGAAAAAACCTCCCTCATTAGCAATGGCAATACAAGTAGGTCCACAATTATCAATCAAAATAACTGGAAGTTTGGAAAGGGAAGAGGAAGATATTAGATGTGGAAACCAAAGTCCTGCAGGTGAATTTCCCATAACCACCTTTCCCCCTTCCCACTCATTAACAGAATGCAAGATAAGAGATGTTGTAAGGCATTTATTTCATTATGTGTTGGAAAGGGACAGTTGTGTCTCCAAAACAGTTACAGAAATAACAATACAATATGTACTGCATATTATTCTACTGTTAAAATCAAAATAGTGTCCATCACAGGTGCTTGGCAAATGAGGAAAAGGGGTAAGTTGCCACTGAAATAAATGGTACCAGAGAGAACAAAGCACCATCTTCATTGTCATCATCACATGTATTCAGTCATGCAGTATAAGTAAAAAGCCAAAGAGTAAATACTTTTGGTTTTTACAGTAAGCCATGAATTTTTCTCTTTTATATATTTATATACAAATTAAGTACAAAACTGGTTTTATTTTTCATAAGTCATTTGTGAACAGGACTGAAGCAAATCACAAAAACATACTTGTTAACACTATAAAGCTGGTTCATGTGTGGACATTACTGTACTTGTGAAACTCTGCACCCAAAAAAAAAAAAAAAAAAAAAAAAAAAAAAAAAGGATTAGGAATGGAAATAAATAAATTTAAAAAAATATAAAAAAAAAAAAAAAAAAAAAATGGTCCCAAAAACTGATGGCTTTGGACTGGAGACACTGAATTTCAAACATGCCTAAGAGGACAACAAAGGGGGTATACAACTCCATTCACACATGAAGGGATATTTTTTTTAAAGCTGTAGGATTTTAAGGGATTATTTGTAGGGAGAATGACTGCATTTCAGTGGGACGTGTGGTTTTCACAGGGATATGCAGGAGCTATGTAAAATACCAAATAAATGATCCAAAGAAATAAATAATTAAAAAAAATACATCTAATACATTTTTTTGTTTTTTTAACAGCACTGACTTTTTACAAGAGATAAACAACTCTCTCATTCTTTTGGACTGCTAACGTCTCAAACATAGGAGTCACTATTTTATACTTACATAGATGTGCCCTTTTATAATTTTAATATATGTTTAGATATATATGCCTTTTCACATACAAGATTGTTAAATTAATTTATATCTGAAAACTACTGTAGAAGGAATGGAAGATAAAGAAAATACAATATGGATTTCCTTAAAGAGATTAACAGGAAGACCTGATTTCTATGAGCTCTATTCATTAGCAATTATGGCTGATTCTGGAGTTTTCCAGGGCACCAATGAAACAGCCCATCAGGAGCTCCAAGCCAGCGAAGGGATTTGGATTCTTGTTATTCACCATCCTTCCCTGTGCAAATAATGACAAATTGGCTCAAGCCACAGTTCCAAGTCCACGTGACACCATCAGACTATCTCTGTCTCTCGCACACGCACACACAATCTTCTTATAGTGACGTCGTTGTCTTCCCACTACAGAAAAGCTTCACAGTAAGCAGAGGTTCAGTATAAATCAAACAGCAACCAAACATTGCTATGTGCTGGAATACTCCATAACGTTCACTCTACTTTACTATAGATTTCACTGCACTATTTAGAACCAGATTCACTTAAATGTATTTTAAAACTCTAACCACATGAGAGCTTGTTGAATCTAGTGGAGATATAAACAGACACATGCAGTCACGAGTTTAGCTTTTGGTGGCCTAGATCCATAGAGTGGGTGGGGGAAATGAAGGTGCAAAAGGATCTATTCTGGTGAGTACATCCCTATGATACTGGTATTAAAGCAGCAGGTACAAATAAAATCAACAAGCTGATCTGGAAGACAGAGAAAGTGTGAGTGTGTGTAAAAGGAGATTATATTAAAGGAAACATTTTAATCTACACTGAATGTTTTCTTCAACTTCTAATTTTTAAAAAGTATTGCAATACTGTGCATAATTTACATGTAAAGGCTATAAAACAATATAGCAGTTACTAAAAAGGGAGGGGGAAAAGAAAAGAAAATTAGCAAAGGTAATGCAAGTAAATTACCGCAAGTGGCACAGGGGTAACTGTGACAAACTATGTACTAGAGTTTATTCATTTTAAAAAAAACCAAAAAACAAAAAAAAAACCACACCACCAAGATTTTCTGCACAGCTGTGCAGGCTTAGAGCTGCTAGCTAGTTTGGAAAAAAAACAAACCAAACAAAAAAACAGATCCACTTGACACTACTACCACTCACACAATTTGTGAAGCAAATGTTTGCCTAAAAACTGAGAAGTCTGGAAAGGATCAAAGATTATTTTTTCCAGAGACATCTAAAGCTTTTGGCCAGTTTTACTCTGTTGCCTTTTGGCTGTATCCTGATACTGATTTCTGTGCAAAACACCAATTGCATGTTTCGTGATACAGTCCTAAATTATCTGAAGAATTTTGGGATTTACCTTGGGAGAGCCTTAGCACCTGCAAATCTCACTGAAGTCTCAGGGCTTATCTACACTGGCACTTTACAGCGCTGCAACTTTCTCGCTCAGGGGTGTGAAAAAACACCCCCCGGAGCGCAGCAAGTTTCAGCGCTGTAAAGCGCCAGTGTAGACAGTGCACAGCGCTGGTAGTCGTGCTCGTGGAGGTGGTTTTTCTGTGCTGTGACTACAGAAGCCACGTTAAAGCACTGCCAAGGCAGCGCTTTAACGTTGCCAGTGTAGACTAGCCCTTAGGGTCAGGCTCTTAATGTGTATTCACCTACTTAAAAGAAAATGAAACAAAAACAAAAACCTTATCAGTGGTTTTGTTTCTGCAACCTGCTGCAGAAGATTACACCAAAATCTAACAGATCTCGTACATACAAGTGCACATGCATTTAGAACTGGGATCTTTGAACCACTTTATCATTCAGATTTTTAAAAAGCCTAGATTTACAAATCAACAGTCTACAAGCTACAAGAGGCATCCTATAAGCCAGCCAGCCCAGTCAGTCAGCATCTAAAGCACATAGGTTTTGTATACTCAGACATGTGGATAAAACAAAAGGAAAAATGCCCTAGTCCAAGTGTATGTTCTATTTCATTAACCATAACCACTGATCATCATCACAGTTAGGTTGCATTTTAAAACTGCACTTTGAATAAAGCAGTATGTAACTTCTGAATGATTTACCATTACAAATCAAAGCATAATGTGGCAAAGCAAGCCGGTCGGGTGGATAGATGGATAAATGGTAACGGCTTTCCATTACAGGTTATTCTAATACCATGCAAGTATTCTCTACATAAAGGCAAATCTTGATCTTTGAATTGCGAAACTATAATTGGATTCAATAGGATCAAGACTTTGACCTTCACAGTCAATTCTGCTCCATTTAAACAAGAGTAAATGTGGAGAAAGGCCAATGAAGTTAATAGTGTTACTGCAGACTTACAACAGTTAACAGGACAGAATTTGGCCCATTCTGGGTAACAGTTGACCATTCTAATTACCGTGGAAATTATATCAATCCATACAATGATAAGTATGTAAACATCTGAAACCACAGCAGAATCTCACTAATTCACACACCCTATAATTCACATACACAAAACAGTGGTCTCTCCCTAATTCTCAGGAAAGTTTTAATAGCAAGGACACTATAGTGAGGTCTAATATTGCTAAGACTTCATTACTTTTATAAAATATACTATAGAATATTAACTAGTTTACTATGAAGCATCATCATAACTAAAGCTAGTCTACACTTGCCAAATAAGGCACTGATTCAGCAAAGCACTTAAGCACTTGTTTAAAGTTATGCATGTTTAAGTGTTTTCCAGAATAGGGATGGACTTAAAACATGCTTAAAGTTGAGCACACACTTGAATGTCTTTACAGTGAAGTAATCTTGGGTGGTTTGTTTTGTTCCTTGTTTTGCTGCATTTGTTCGTGTGCTTGATACATGAACACACATTTCAATAGTTCATCATTGGTCTCCCAGCTGTGCATGTGAATTAGCAAAATTATACTGTGTGAGTCAATCTGAAGAAACATATCACGATTGTAGCTACTTGAAATTGTAGCTACATGCAGCTATCTGGAAATCCCATTGTAATGCTATGTCATTAAAGAATATTTGCATGATATTTGTGCCTAGTAAATTAAAGTGATACCAATAAACTAGATAAATAAAAATAAATTATAGAATTTTGGAAAGACCCTGTCAGGGATCATGCTAGTAAACTAAGCTTATTTTCTAATTATTGCCAAGGTCTGGATTATACTTAAATAGGTAAAGTATCTTGTAAGGCTTCAGAGAATTACAAAATAAACTTTTTAACAATCATTTGTAAACAAGTGTAAAATGCACAATTGTATTTCAGTAGTTTATTTTGGAGAAATAAAGCAGTGCAAAATAGGCCAACCAAAATTCAGAAGGTAGCCAGGGAAAATAAATTCTTATTCAATGTTATATCTAGGAAACAGCATACAGACATTTTAACTGGATCCAACACTCTGATTCACGTAAACAGTTAGTTTGAAAGGTCTCGTGTTACTAAACCATATTAAGCATTGCTTCTTTTCCTCCCACCACCACCCATTACATTTTTTCCATTTTAATAAAGGAAGCAAATGGCAAATCTATAAACATTCCACCCACCAGTTACACAAGAGTACCATACAAAAATACACACTGGTGGGTTCCTTCCTGAGGGCATCTTTGTTTTACTTGAAACATAAAAAGATCTCAAAAAATCCTTTAGATGTCTATTTTATTTCAGTCTTGGCTCTAGGAAAGGTTTGGTCAATCATGAACATTGTTATAAGTCCATAACTATGGTTGTCCTCCTCACTCCCACCCCTGCCACCTGGGACCTACAACATGCAGTAAACGGTGGGATTCAGCAATTATTCAGCAGCCTCAATGCATACTAGGCTTATGACAGGTGCCCAATTCAGAATTGATTTGTACACAAATCCAGGAACTTTGCTGTATTCGTGTTTCATACAAATCTGACTCCAAAGACAAATGACATTCCTTATGGAACAGTCTTGGAGAATTTAACAGAAATTGATAGCCCCTCCCCCCAATAAAACCCTATAGAAAGGTTAAGAGTGATTTTTACAGGAACCTATAGGACTTCTCCATGAGGGATGGCCACCACCATATGGCAGCGAGCATTTTTCAAATGGTTTGGCTCACTCCTCCCCCTCCCTGGCTTCCTGCTCTGGCTACCTCCACTATCCTAAGGTTGTGTTACATCCCCTACCTACTCCTTCCCTCCACACTGACTATCAGATACTAGAATAGTTGACACTACGGTGTTATGGTGATGTATGCTCTATAAATGCTTAACATAGAAAAACATGGAATTGTCACATCCCAGAGCTTAACTAAGGTGATGCTTTCGTAATAGCATCTCTGTGAACATATTTTAGGGATTTCTTAAAGATGGAAAGGCCGTGAGCCCCATAAAAATAATGTGTATGCTTGAAACCTGCTTTTACAGCATTGACTGATTCAGTTACTTCCGATTTAGTGTTCACGATTGACAAAAGCTGCAGGAAATTTAAAAAGACAGAAGATGCTGCCATGTTGCAGGAAGAGAACATACATTTTAGTTTTGCTATGGTATCTCAACTGTAATGTATGATCAGCCTGTGCTACAGTTCACAAACGAGTACACCCACTACTCTTGTAATTTACCTGCCTAGCCTCCTCTGGCAGTCCCAGATAGTAACAGTCTCTAAATCAGAAAAACTGTCACAAATCATAACCTACACAAAACCCTGCTCGCTCCAATTTTGCTCATGTTCAATCACTGTTGAGAGCAATGATTTATGCATAGCCGTGTATTAATGGAGAATAGTGGCTACAAATCTGAATTACACATGTATTTACAGGATGTGCAAGCAAGGCTGGTGTACTACTCTGTGAAAGTAAAAATGGATCCATTTGCTAGCCCTCTAGCAAAGCATTCCTACGCTTTGCCTGAGTGAAATGGAAGGACAATTATTTTCTCGGCTAAAGAATAAGCTTTAGAGTCTCATGGCCAGCCAAAAGTACAAAGAGCAGTGTTTTATCTACCAAGACACCCAACTCCCACTAGTAGTATGCATCCTTTGCTTTTAAAACTCAAGCCTTGCTGGATCAGAAAAGATTCTTTACTGCCATGGTAGCATTCTTGTGGCGAAATACAATTTGAAGCTTCCTTTATCTGAAACAACTCGGTTCAAGGAAGAGAACCCCCGAGTTGGAACTGTAGTCTCCACCTCAGTTTTAAACAGGAGGGCAGCTGCAATCTGTTTTGAGCCATCAAATAAGGTGCAGCCCTACTGCCCTCAGCAAGTTGCCAATGAAGCTCTGGGCACACCTATTCTGCTGATACTGAAGCTTTTTTAAATGTTCTTTTCAAGGGTCCAGCTGGAAAGAGGGAATGGGAAGTACTCTGGAAAGGTGAAAATCTCTAGCATTGTCACGCACGCCATGTCAACTATAATTTTTTCCGGTTCCATGAGGTCTGATTTTAAAATGCTGGTCACTGGTGATTACAAATAAAATCTAAAACGAAACGCAAAAGCAACCCTCCCACATTAAGGTCTAGTGTTAAACACAAGCATGTGCAAGCTCACTACAGATTTGCAACTGGAATCTGAAGAAATGTATCCGGATCATTTTTCTTCCCCACTCCTTTTCAGATAATTTCATCAACAAATCGTGTTAAATCAATAGAAATTTGTTACAGCCTGCTCTGATTCTAGGACCGTGATTTGACTCCCCACGGCTTTTCCTCAGTCCACGGTGTTGTCTGGCTATTGAGAGGAAGCTTTTGTTGCCAACGTGGCAACGCAGTGCTGCTGAAAGCTGGGGGACACTGCAGAGTTGCAGCCTAGTCTCTGGTGCTGCAGCTTTACTGAGCTGTTGGTCTCACTTTCCACAATCCAGGAGGAGTCTTTTCCCACCACGCTTCGGCAGCCTGTACTAGCACAGCATGTCCGCTCCCCTACTATGCCGCCGGTCTGCTCAGCCAGGAGTTTGCTGAGGTTTAGTTGGGTCACCTCCGGTGTCTGGCCCTGCAGGACAGCAGCTATGTGGTTCAGGAGGTCTGTGAAGAACTCTGCAACACCCTCATAACCTGAGAAAGAGAGAAAAGCAATGCCATCAGTTCCATCTTTCCATTTCACTGGCCTTGTGTACAAGTCTCCCTTCTCTTACCCCTTTCCCTGCGTGCGCGCGCACACACACACACACACACACAACTTCCCACAATAAAAAGTGGCCTTTATTTTTCTGGGCACCATTTGGTGCACACAACTAATTGCATAAGACAGACACCTGACTGCACCCTCAAATAAGCTAGTTAAACATCTACATACTAATTAACTGCAGAAGCCAAACTCCACCTCCCACACCACACAAATAGATATTGGGTTGATGCTCTTAAAAAATGGCTCCCCTCATTACTTTATTTCTAGTTATGTAGGGTTACCATCCGTCCGTATTTCTCCGGACATGTCCGGCTTTTGCGTCTCTAAATAGCCGTCCGGGAGGAATTGGTAACAAGGTTAAAATGTCCGGGTTTTTTTTCTCCCTCGCCTCCCTCCCTCTCTTCCATGCAGAGTGTGGCTGCTGATTGGGCGGCTGGGCCGATTGAACCGCTCCCATTGGCCTCCAGCAGCCAGAGCCCTCCCCTGCTCCCCCCTCCCTCTGCCTGCAGCCCTGTGTAACACACAAACCGACCCACCGGGCAACGTGTTTTGCAAACACATGGAGCCAGAATGGTAAGGGGAGTCGGGGGGGGGGGGCAGTCAGGGAGCGGGGGAGTGTTGGATGGGTCCCTGGCCTCCACCTGCCACCTCCCCTCCGTGCATCCCCCCCCCGTGGGGTCCCCCCTCCCTGCCAGCCTCTCCCTTGCCTGCTTGTACTGCCAGAGCCAGCAACAACTGCTGTCTGCTGCCCCCGGCTCCTAGCGTCCCCCATCCACTAATGGGAAGACAGGCTGCCCTTACCCTGCCCTTCCACCCTAGCCCTGAGTCTCTCCAACACCCCAAACCCCTCAGCCCCAGCCCTCATCCCCCCGCACCCTAATCCTCTGCCCCAGCCCTGAGCCTCCTCCTGCATCATGAACCCCTCATCTTCAGCCCCAACCCTCATCCCCCCTCACCCTAATCCTCTGCTCCATCCCTGAGCCCCCTCCTGCATCATGAACCCCTCATCCTCAGACCCACAGCCCTCACCCCTGCATCCCCTCCTATTCCCAAACCCCCTCACCCCTTCCCACACACCCCCTCCTGCCCTCAAACTCCCTCCCAAAGCCTGCACCCCCTCCCTTTGCACCGACTCCCACCCCCAAACTCCATCCCAGAGCCTGCACCCCTCACCCCCTCCTGCACACCCACCCCCTGCCCCAGCCCGAAGCCTGCACCCAGCACCCAAACTCTATCCCAGAACCTGCACCCTGCACTCCTCCTGCACCCTAATCCCCAGCCCAGGACCTGCACCCCAGACCTCCTCCCCCCACCCAGCCCCCCTCCCAGAGCCTTAGGCGGGGGGTGGGGGTGGATTCTGGGCACCACCAAAATTTCTACAACCCTGCCACCCATGCGAGTGGATAAGGGTCGGGGCAGTCAGGGGACAGGTAGGGTCCTAGGGGGGGCAATTAGGGTGGGGGGGTTCTCAGCAGGGGGCAGTCAGGGGACAAGAAGCAGGGGGGGTTGGGGTTCTGAGGGGGGCAGTCAGGGGGTGGGAAGTGGGAGGGAGTGGATGGGGGCGGGGCTCCCCCCCAGTGTCCTCTTTTTTGATTGTGGAAATATGGTAACCCTACATTATGATGTTGCTAAGGAAAAATTATTCAGCAACCAGAGATAATCTGGTCTGGTTGATCGTAAAGCCTCATGAGGGACTAAAACAACAAGGTGTTTGTAAAAGTTGTAGCAAAGAGACTGCAGTAAGTTCCTCTTACTTCGCTGTAGAAATTAAATTAACTTTTGTTTAAATATTTTGATGAGGTGACTTGTGTTTCTCTCTCAATTCAAGCTCTGGTTTCTGCTTCTCCCAAGTTGTTTGTTTTTATATCTTATCATCTGTCCTCAATTCCACTTTTACCCCTAAATTGCAGACTATTTGGGACAACCTTAAACTCGTCATCTGATTTCCAAATCTTCCTCTGAAGACTCCTTCTAAAGTACAATTGCCCTGAGGGGCTGATTTAAGGCACCCTCTAGAAATTCCTCAAATGAACCCCAACTGCGGGTATTTCACAGAGCAATTGGCCTGGCCTTACAAACTACAGAAAATGCACTTTGTGAACTTTCCATTCATGCTTGTCTAACCTAATCCAATGAGGTCTTTATATCATGCACCCCTCTGCGATACTGTGTGCCAATGTTAGGGCAACGCTAAAGCCAAATCAACAGGGCAATATTATTTAGAAACAAATCTTTCATTTCAATCCTGAAACCTGGCAAGCAATTACTCAAACCAATATTGGTCTAATGGTTGGGAGTGGGAGGGGGCAAAATACTGAAATTTAAGAATTGTCCGTGCTTGGGAATGATTCCTTTGTTCTGAAAGATTCCAAAAGATTTACATTACACAGTTTAACAGAAACACCATTATGGTTTTCTGAGTAAATAAAATTGGCCAAATCCTGGGAGATTACTTAGATTATAAACTCTTTGGGAAAGGGTCTGTTCTTTTTGTTCTGTGTTTGTACAGCGCCTAGCACAATCAGGTCCTGGTTCATGACTGTTTCTTTATATTCTATAAAAGAAGAAAAAGAAAGAAATAGCATTGAACACTTAGTATCTTGAATGTCAGCTGCAGGTGGTCAGAACCTTTATTTCAATTGTAGGCTCTTGGGAGCAGGGTCTATATATGTTTGTACAATGCCTAGCACCGAGTCAGTAGGTGGTACTGTAACATTATTATTATAATAAGATCAAGGATTTGGACTAATTATGTAAGAAGTATATCTATCAAATACATGACATTTTAAAAAGGCTATATACATATTTTAATGATCACTAGGCTACTGTGTAAATAACTAATATTTTTTAAAATTTCATTTGAAACCCATTCCCAGGCCACTGTGAAATCAGAGCAAAGAGAGCATGAACGAAATAAATATACATTTAAAAACATCTGTAATCGTGTGGGTACAAGGTAGAGCAGGACAAGGAGGGAAAACTCAAATATTTATATTTTTAATCTCCTTCCCCTTTAAAAAACACCTTATCAGAATAAAAATACTACTACAGACTGAAAAATGTATGCTAAAATCAGAATCTAAACAGGGGTACTTTTGTGATTTTAAGGTGTATTTATAAACAATGTGTGAATCAATTAACTGTTACTTATATAGTGCCTTTTTAAAATTTTAGTGACAATTACAGGTACAAATTTTCATATGCTCCTTTGATAATGCAATTAGTGTGCTGTTCATGGTCGAAGATGGTAGCTTTTAAAATTCAGTTTTCTTAGCAACTTGGAGACCATTAAAAAAAAATTCAACCCACTTAAAAATGACAAAGTGCCAGGCCACCAACACTAACCATCACTATCTATTCATCAGCCAGGGTCTAGCTAAGACTGTTAGAATCACAGGAGTCATGGAATCCCCAAGCTCTCTCACGAAGAGTTGGCCTTCTAAGATTTCTTGCTTATGTAAACCCTCCCCCCCAGGATTAGCCTTTAAATCTACTCTGTGTGCTTCAAACGCCCTGGGAATAAGCCATCTCCATAGTAACAGCTTTAATGTGCAGAGAACAGATCCATAGTTCCTTGGGGTGTTTTGGACATGCTCAGTGAGAACAAAATCAGACCTATTAGAACTGCACAAGGGAAACTCACAATGAAGTTGCTCTTAATGCTTTATGGCCATAGGACAGAGACAGTGATTAACTCCTGGTACCAGCATGAGAGAACCCTGCACACGGTCGCAGTCAGGTTGTTGGGTGCTGTTCACTGACACTGCTGCTGCAGCTATTTTGACAAGACAACTGGGGGAAAGGGTTGCACATTTACATTCAGGAGATCAAGTGGAAGGATGATTTAATTAAGTTTGAAGAAATTTTAAGCAGCTGGGATGGGGTTTACATTGCATCAAGGAATAGTGGCAGGACATACTTTTCATAAGCCTCTAAGTGGGTGCCACTCCTTTGAAATCCATTCCAATCAATGTAGTTGCATCTGCTTACACGAGGTCTGAATTTGGCACTGTGTAGGAACGGAATGAAAATACTGGGTGAAAGTGGATAATATCAGTGTCACCTCATTGAATTGAGTATAAGAAGGAAGTCCACACAGAACTAGAGATGGGGCTGAACCAGGAATTCAAGTCCCCGGTCCTGAACTTTGGGGGCGTTCAGATTCAGATCTAGATTTGGAGACCAAGGCTCGTCTCCGCACAGCTCTGGGAAATGATTAATATTCCCAAGCTAATACTGCAAATGCTGTGGACCTGCTTTTTAAAAGGGCACCTTCACTCATGCATACTCAGTTGAGTACCCATTTTTTGTGTGCAGTCACCTAAGCACACAGGAGAGGATAGTCACTGCCTTGTTCACACACACAAAAACCATACGTATCCAGATAGAACTGACACACTCAACCCCTGCCTAATGCACATGGAGTCTACACTTTGCATGTGCAGGTGATAATGCACAAGAAGAGTATGCACAAAATTCCACAGAGGCAAGCAGAAGCCAGGTTAAGGCAACACGGAAAATCAAGCCTTATGAAACCTTTTGCACCTTACCAGCTGCTCCAGATCAGGAGACCATAAAAACCACATGCTACCTGACTATTGGCTAGTATTAAAGATCTCCATGTGTAATCACAGCCAAGTCCAATCCAACCAGTTTTCTGCAGCACAGGACAGACAGTAGGCAACATTCATCTTTTAAATTTGCTGAGAGAGGGACTGTTACTAAGTGGAGCAGGTGACAGATGAGGTACCCCTACGGATATATCTTCTCCCAGCTGGTTACGTTAAATCAGTCCCGAGATCACAGCACTGGCTTGGGGAAGTGACAGATTTAAATGAACTTTGAGTCTGGTTGCAGCAGCAGCAGGAACCAGGTCTGGGGATGGACTGACACAGGCTTTGGCCTGGCCTATCGCATCCTGCCATCT